CGCTCGCCCGCCCCTCGTGACGCGCGCCGAGGCCGGAACCGGGCTGGCCCGAGAGGGAGGGCGCGCAGTGGGAGCGCGCATGCACGCCGCGTGCTAGTAGCGCCCCTGCCTCCCACGCCCACTCGCGTGGGCGCGCGTCGCGCGAGTTCTGGACGGCGGAGTCCTGGGCATGCGACCGGCCGCAGCGTCCGGGTCCCCGCGGCAGGCGTGCGGGGCGCCCGCACCTCTCCGCCCCTAGCGCCCCGGCCTGGGCGGGAGAACCGGGGCGCCCGTTCGCCCCGTCCGAGTTCTCCGGCCCCTCCTCCGGTTCCGGGCCGCGCCGACGGCGGAGAAATGCGGCTGCCTACCTGAGGGGACTGACGAGGACTTCCTCGGCGGAAGCCTAAGGGGTTCCCGGTTTCCTAACCAGCAGCTGTAGCCACCCTTGGCGCGTAGGAGCTGGCCACACTGCAAGATCGCGAAGCCGGGCAGCCGCGTCGGCTCCTGCGGTCTGTTCCCTTCCCTTAGTTACTGCCGAGTTCGCGCTCCCCAGCCCCTTAGATACTATACTGCCGGCACTGCTCGGCCTAGCGGCGTCTCCGGAACGCGCTGCAGCCCTGAGTTTTCGCCGCAAGGGGGAGCGCCACGGGCCTGGGCCGGAGCGAAGCTTGGCGGGTTTGCAACCCTCGAAGGGAACTGCCCTGTCCCGCTAGGAAGAGCAGAATTCTCATCCCTGGATTCTGATGCCGAGGAATGCTGGGCATGATCTTCCTCCCCGCTTCTCGAACCTGGTTGGTCGGAATTTAAAAACGTGTTTGAGCCTTGGTTAGGGCATCCGCCCCAGATATGGCTTCTCGGGAGGGAGGGAGGGGACTCTGCAGCAGGGACCAGGTGGCAGGTGCTGTGCGTTAATGAAAAGCAGTGGGCTGGAGAGGCCTCGGGAGGCCTGGGTTCTGGCGCCAGCCCCACCTATAATTGGCCGTGTAATTATGACCCAAATCATTCCCCCTCCTTCAGTCCAGATTTCTAGTAATAATAACAAATTTGTACAGAGCCTTATAGTTTGCACAACGCTCTTCATACACGTATTCTCATCTAGTAAAATAATAATACTTGGTTATCAGGGAAATGGATCTTTTTCCACACAGTGTTTCCATATAGATGAGAGTTTATTTTAAGCACAATACCTCCAGAAAAACCTGGGGGTGTAGCCTGACGCATTCTGGAAGTCTTGTGTTTTAGCTTTAAAATGGATATGAATTTTCCATTCCACTAATAATGAATTTTTTTCTTTGCTTTAATAAAGAAAATAATAGGTTTCTTCTCCACAAAAACGTCTTTTAGTAAAATTGAAATATTATATACCAGGAAGATGTATCATGCTTGTTCTGTGACATTACATATTCATTTTTTTCAATAATGGATTTCAGTTTTTCAGTATTTATTCAGCATATACATGAGCCAGGCACGGTCCCTGTTCTCCCAGAGTTCATCAATGAAGGGAATAGATACTGAACAATGAGACAAATAATTAAATGCAGCAGTGATAAGTGCTCAACTGCAAAGGTGCTAAGGATGTACGGGGGAAGTTAATCTAGACTCAAGGATCAGGTAAGGCTTTCCAAAAAAACAAAACAAACCAAAAAATTGTAGTTCAGTGGATTCAGACTCATGGTGAACCCAAGTATTGCTGAGTAGAACTCCTCCATAGTGTCTTCAAGGCTGTGACGTTTCAAAAGCAGATTGCCAGGCCTTCCTTCTGAGGCACCTCTCTGTGGGTTCAAACTGTCAACCGAGTGGGTTCAAACTGCCAACCTTTTAGCCATTTACACTACCCAAGGATTTAGGAGGCTTTCCAAGGAAATGGCATTTCAGGTGGCCCAGAAGAGGCAGCTGGGAGAGATTTCCAGGCAAAGAGAAGGAAATGTGCAAAAGCCCTTCAAGCAGGCACTGGGGCAGAAGTGAGGGGGAGTGCATGGGAGATGAGCCTGGAGAGGCAGGCAGTGGCCAGCTCCCGCAGGACCGTGTAGACCATGTGAAATAGTTCATCCTATGAGCCCTGGGGAGTCACTGAAGAGCTGTCAGGCTGGGAGCCGGCAATCATGATCACATTTCAGTTTCTGAACGAGGCAGAGGTGGTGATGTGGAAACTGATTCCTGGAGGGTCAGGGTCCAGGGCGGAGAGACTTTGAGCCCCAGACACATCCCTGTTTATCCTATTTGGGGAGTATTTAGAGTTTTCAGTTTCTACACTAACTGTCCTTTTCTTGGTTTTTAGTTCTTGGGTCTGCTTCTCATAAGTACTAGTTTGGGGGACTTTCAGAATGTCTCCCTATGACAGTCACCATTTTGTTATTGTTAATCTGCTGTGGTTTTAGGAAGGGCATTAACTAACCTTGTTAGAATTTCAGCTTAAAAGGATGTAGATTCTGAGTGAGCGGCTCTTTTCCATGCACTCACTTGGTGCCATCTGGTTTGATAGCTCCAAGATCTTTTTGCTTATTTTCTACTTTTTGTGCTGTGTTGCCAGTCAGGCAAGGTTCCTAGATGCATGAGTGACAGATCCTTTATTGCTTTAATATACTTTCCCCTCAACTCTTGCATCACACAACTTTTATGCAGATTAAAGAAAGTATGTGAAATTACTCTGCAAAGTATTAAGTGCCATATAAAGAAATCATTGTTATAACAACAGCTTAGAGACTTCTCAAAATAATTAGCCACCAAATATTCATATCTGGAAAACGCCTTTCCTCCTTGCCCCACCCAAAAACACAGATATTCCTATTCTTTTTTGGATAATGTATATCATTATCATAAATGCTCATGTAGCTCTTTGTGCCTTGGCTGGCAGGAAACTCACAGCCAAATTTTCAGATCATTTTAGGAACTGGGTGTATCCAAATGACCTTCATATCTATGTGTCAGTATTTCCTTTGGTTTGATCTTCAATTTATAGTTTTGCTGTACTTGCTTTGTTTTTCTACTTTATTATAGGTATTCTGATAAGCCACTTCAAATATTAGTATACATCCACTCCCATTAACGAGGGTCATAACAGCTATCCAGTATTTCAGAAGGCAGTATATATAACACTGGCCACCTAGTGATATTAATTGGCAGGTGACAATACTGTAGACACCATGCTGTGTGACTTGGGTTTAAATTAAAGCCTGTTCTACCGTTGCATGTGGATCAGCAGTTTCTAGACATGCTGGTTTAAAGCCTGATATTACAGGCAAGGAGTCTGTCATGGATTGAATTGTGTCTCCCCAAAAATGTGATCAATTTGGCTGGGCCATGATTCCCAGTACTGTGTGGTTGTCCTCCATTTTGTGATTGTCATTTTATGTTAAAGAGGATTAGGGTGGGATTGTGTAACACCCTTACGAAGGTCACATCCCTGATCCATCGTAAAGGGAGTTTCCCTAGGGTGTGGCCTGAACCACCTTTTATCTTATAAGAGATAAAAGGAAAGGGAAGCAAGTAGAGAATTGGGGATCTCATACCACCAAGAAAGCAGTGCTGGGCGCAGAGTGCGTCCTTTGGACCCGAGGTTCCTGTGCAGAGAAGCTCCTAGTCCGGGGGAAGATTGATGACGATGAGGACCTTCCTCCAGAGCCAACAGAGAGAGAAAGCCTTCCCCTTGAGCTGACGCCCTGAATTTGGACTTGTAGCCTACTGGACTGTGAGAAAATAAATTTCTCTTTGTTGAAGCCATCCACTTGTGGTATTTCTGTTATAGCAGCACTAGGTGACTAAGACAGAGTCCTTCGGTGGTGCAAACAGTTACGTGCTCGGCTACTAACTGAAAGGTTGGAGGTTCAAGTCCACCCAGAGGCATCTTGGAAGAAAGGCCTGGTCTGCTTCCGAAAAATCAGCCACTGAAAACCCTGCGGAGCACAGTTCTACTCTGACATACACGGGGTCATCATGAGTTGGAACTGACGGGACAGCAACTGATTAGGGGGCAGTGGTGTTTCAGCAGTAGAATCCTCATCTTCCATGCAGAAGAACAGGGTTCGATTCCCGGCCGGTGCACCTCATGCACAGCCACCACCTGTCTGTCAGTTGAGGTTTGCGTGTTGCTATGATGTTGAACAGGTTTCCGCAGAGCTTCCAGACTAAGATGGACTAGGAAGAAAGGCCTGGTGATCTGCTTCCAAAAATAAGCCAATGAAAACCCTGTGGCTCACAATGGTCTGATCTCCAGCCGATCATGGAGATGGTGCAGGACTGGGCAGAGTTTAGTTCGCTTGTGCATGGGGTCACCATGAGTAGGGGCCAACTGGATGGCAGCTGACCACAATAACATGACAGGCAAGCTCAACCATGTCTCATGCCGGCTCATAGATAACTTCCTTTGGAGTGTGATCTCTGAGATCTGAAACTCCATCTGCCCGCCCTGTACTCACAGGTTTATCTTGCTGGTACCAGTCCTGTCTCTCACTTGTAAGAGGGCAGGAACAAATGAAATTTATTCATTTAGGCTTCTTCTTGTCAGCAAAGACCTGAAGATTCTGGAAGTCACTAAATTCATCCAAACTCCAGAGAGTGTGACCGTATCTTGCAACCTTTGTTATGGTTCTGGACAGCCATAATTGGACATGCCTCTTCAGTATATACTTTTTGTTGATTTGAAGTTCTTCAGTGATTATCTTCTATCTCAGTCCTTGAGTTTAAATCTGTGAGCTGAAGCTGTTTGCAGGACAAACACTCAATAACCTTCAGGTAATGGAGGGTTTTCTTGAGGATTTCAGTTCTGCTAACATTTGTCTAACCCAGCTTCCTGGACCATCAGTATTGTATCAATAGTAGAGCCATTTTTGTCACAGGATTTAAAATGTATGAGCAAAATATACAACTATGAA